TTGCTTATGTGGTGCTGAGGAATCGAACCCAGGGCCTCAGGCATGCAAGGCAAGCGCTCTACCACTGAGCCACCTTCCCAGCCCCTCATGACATCTTTTAAAGGATGACAGCAGATCCTTCTGAGTCACTTTAGCATGCTCGTTGGTTTCTCTACATATTTATTAATTACCTGTATAGTTATTTAATGCTCTGAATAAAGTTTTCTCCACCTCAAAATGGGTTTGTAATTACAGGGTTCTGTTTTCCTGGTTGGACCTTTCTGATATATTCAAGTGAAGACTTACTGGGGCCAAACATAAGACACCTGCAATGCTACCACTTAAAAGGCTGAGACACAAGAATCATGAGTTCAAGGCCAGCCTGGGTTAAATAGAAAGTTCTAGGCCAGTCTGGGCTACATAATGAGACATGCCTCAAAATAAGAAAGAAAACAAATACCCACCCACCCATACACAAAAAGATGGATTCATGGACAACTAAGAAAAGTTTCGTTTCTAAATCTGATTCTTTTTTTGTTTTTTTTGGCCAGTCCTAGGGCTTGAACTCAGACCCTGAGTTCTTTTGCTCAAGGATAGCATTCTACCACTTGAGCCACAGTGTCATTTATGGCTTTTTCTGTTTATATGGTACTGAGTAATTGAACCCAGAGCTTCACCCATGCTAGGCAGCACTCTATCAATAAGCCACATTCCCAGCCCCAAAGTTTTGTTTGTTTTTGCTGGTCCTAGAGCTTGAACTTAGGGCTTGGACACTGTGTCTGAGCCTCTTTGTATTCAAGGTTAGGCTCTCTACCAATTGAGCCACAGTACTACTTCTGGTTTTTGAGTAGTAAATTGGAGATAAGAGTCTCACAGGGATTTTCCTGCCTGGGCTGGTTTTGAACTGGGATCCCCAGATCTCAGCCTCCTGAGTAGCTAGGATTACAGATGTGAGCCACCTGCAACTGGCTAAATATGATTCTTAATTCTTCAAATAACTAGAAGGAACAAAAGCAATATGGAAAAGATTTAAAGGATATTACACTTCTAAATCTAAATGTTCTAAGTGTTACTCTTTTCATATTAGAACTTTTCTGTGACATTAGCTATTCTTATGATTCCAGAAATGTAAAGTGTCCTATCTTACATGACATTAAAGTAACTTTTCCTTTAATGTGAAATTAATTTGCATTTTAATATTAGTACATAAAATATACTTTTATAGTATACTGAAAATACTATTCAAAAGAAACAACTTGAGTTGGGTAGGTGGCACAGTGGTAGAGCGCTTGCCTTACATGCCTGAGGCCATGGGTTCGATTCCTCAGTACAACATAAGCAGAAAAAAAAAAGCCGGAAGTGGCGCTGTGGCTAAAGGGGTAGAGCGCTAGTCTTGAGCTGAAAGACAGCGCCCAGGCCCAGAGTTCAGGCCCCACAACCGGACCCAAAAAAAAATAAAAAAGAAACAACTTGAAATTTTCACTATATATAAGGGAAATGTTAATTTACCTCTTCAGATTTCTTCTTCAATTGTTTTTCAAACTTTTCTTTATTTCCTTCCAACTGATTTAAATGCAAAGCAAGTTCTTCCTTACAAATTTCCAATGCTGAATCCAGTTGTCTGACCTAAGCAAATAAAAAGCAAAAATAACAAAAAACGGGGAAACAATAGTAATGAATTCCAATTACATGCTCAATAATTTTTAGATGACTTCTTTGTTTTTGTTTTTGTTTTTATTTTTGTTTTTGTTGGTCGTGGGGCTTGAACTTTGGGCCTGGGCACTGTCCGTCAGCTCTTCAGCTCAAGGATAGTGCTCTACCACTTGATCCACAGCGCCACTTTGGTTTTTTCTGCTTATGTGCTGCTGAGGAATTGAACCCAGGGCTTCATGCATGCAAGGCAAGCACTCTACCATTGAGCCACCCTCCCAGCCCATGCTTTATACTTTTTTTTTTTTTGAGGGGTTTTTTTTTTTTTTAATTTTTTTTGGGTCCGGTCGTGGGGCCTGAGCGCTGTCCCTCAGCTCTTCAGCTCAAGGCTAGCACTCCACCACTTGAGCCACAGCACCACTTCCGGCTTTTTTCTTTTTGTTTATGTGGTGCTGAGAAATCGAACCCAGGGCCTCAGGCACACAAGGCAAGCGCTCTACCACTGAGCCATCTTCCCAGCCCCTCACTTAATGTTATCTATGAACATACACATGACTTAAGGGGTCTCAAAGTCAATCTTCGCTTTTTACCTTAATATCCTCTTTCTCCTAAAAACCTCTCATTGGAGAACTAAGTACAAATTATAAGCCATGATTACCCATACTTTCAAGTTTTGAAAGTATGTCCCCCTCCCCCAATCCTGGGGCTTAAACTCAGGACCTGGGAGCTGTCCCTGAGCTTTTCGGCTCAATGCTAGCCTCTAGTACTCTGAGCCATGGCTCCAATTTTGGTTTTATGGTGGTTACTTAGAGATAAAGTCTCACAAACTTTCCTGCCCAGGCTGGCTCTGAACTATGAGTAACTGAGTAGCTAGAATTACAGGTGTGAGCCACCAATGCCTGGCTCATGACTTTACCTATTTTTATAATAATACTCTAGAGCAATGTGAAATTTATAATCAGCCATTTATACAACTAACCAAAAATCTCTTAATTAAAGTTTTCTATTTTATATAAATAAAACTTTAGGGGCTGGGAAGGTGGCTTAGTGGTAGAGTGCTTGCCTCACATGCATGAGGCCCTGGGTTTGATTCCTCAGCACCACATAAACAGAAAAAGCCCAAAGTGGCACTGTGGCTCAAGTGGTAGAGCACTTGTCTTGAGCTGAAGAGCTGATAGACAGCTCCCAGGCCCAGAGTTCAAGCCCCGAGATTGACAATAAATAAATAAATAAAACTTTAGCCAATTATACATACCTGTTTTTCAAGTTTAGTCTGAATGTCTTCTAACTCTCCATTTCTAATTGTCTCCTGCTGTAACATTTGCTGTTGTTGCTGAAGAGTATGTTGTAGAATCACGTTTTGCTCAGTAGTCTCCTGAAGACTGTGATTCCTTATCTTTAGCTCTTTCTGTAAACAATATACCTAACAAATACACATAATACTATAATGACATTTTTGAAATAACAAGCAGTAAAATGTAAATGCTGCCTTCTGGGTAATTATCTGGAGATAATTAATGTCTACTTGTGTGACAACTGTATTTATGAAAAAAACCTCTCATTTTTCAGATGTGGAAATATATTAGAATCCTAGCTGCTCAGAAGGCTGAGATCTGAGGATTTTGGTTTAAAGCCAGACTGGGCAGAAACGTCTATGACATTTATTTTATTTTATTTTTGTTGGTCTTAGGGCTTGAACTCAAGACCTAAGTGCTATCCCTGAGTATCTTTTGCTTAAGAATAGCATTCTGGGGCTGGGAAGGTGGCTCAGTGGTAGAGTGTTTGCCTTGCACACATGAAGCCCTAGGTTTGATTCCTCAGCACCACATAAGCAGAAAAAGCTGGAATTGGCGCTCTGGCTCAAGTGTTAGAGTGCTAGCCTTGAGCTGAAGAGCTGAGGGACAGTGCCCAGACCCAGAGTTCAGGGCCCACAACCAGCAAAAAAACAAACAAACAAAAAAAAGAAATAAAGAAAAGAAAAAAAAAGAATAGCGTTCTACCACTTGACCCACAGGCCCACTCCTGGCTTTTTCTGAGTAGTTTACTAGAAATAAAAGTCTCATGGTCTTTGCTACCTGTACTGGCTTCGAACCACAATCCTCAGATCTTGGCCTACTGAGTAACTAGGATTACAGGCATGTCACAAGTGCCTGACCTGTGTGATACTCTTACCTCCAATTAATCACCAAAAATCTGGAAGTCGAAGTATAACTCAAGTGGTAGAGCACCAGTCTTGAATGAAAAGAACAAGTGAGTTCATGCTCCAGTACTGTCACTCTCACTCACACACACACACACACACACACACACACTCACAAATAAAGGCCTGCTTATAGAGTCGGCTCTTGGTTGGTATCTAGAGATGGAAATTTTCAGATGTTACTATGTGATGAGATTGTTTTGGCTGGCAGGGACACTGCTTTCTTTATGGAAGTCTGCAATTTTGATATTGTCAAAACAACTATTTTGTGACCAGAACCTCACTAAAAGTCATAAGCTTTTGAATCATACAAAGGTTTGTCACATTTCAGTTACCAAAAAAAACATGTTTTATATAACTGTTCCTAGAAGGAAGAAAGGACAGGTAGCTATGGATTGGTTTTATTCATTACCCTTTATTCATTACCCTTACTTAGTAGTAATAAAAGAAGACCATAAAAGCACTACATAAATATTAAAGTTATTATTTTACTGTTGTTATTATTGCTGTTTCTAAAATAATATTGGGCCATGTGTGGTGTTACATTCCAATAATCCCACCTACTCAGGAGGATAATGATCAAATGGTAGGATGGGCAAAAATGCCCATGAGACTCTTATCTCCAATAAACCACTAGAAAACCGGAAGTGGTGCTGTGGCTCAAAGGGCAGAGCACTTGCCTTGAGCTGAAGAGTACAGGTACAGCGCCCAAGCCCAGCGTTCAAGCCCCACAAATGACAAAAAAAATTAATAAATAAAAATAAAAAACAAACATCTAATGTACAGTGGAACACACCTGTCATCCCAGCAATTATCTGGAAATCTTTTGGTGTAGGAATTCAAATTCTAAAAATAACAGTAGCTGAAATTATTTTTCTCAATAGTGTTTTAAAAAAAATTTTTTTTTTGGTCGGTTGTGGAGCTTAAACTCTAGGCCTGGGCACTGTCCCTCAGCTCTTTAGCTCAAGGCTACCACTTGAGCCACAGCACCACTTCCAGCTTTTTCTGTTTATGTGGTGCTGAGGAATCGAACCAGGGCCTCATGCATGTGAGGCAAGCACTCTACCACTGAGCCACCTTCCCAGCTCCTATTTTTCTCAATAGTATTAAAGATATGGTTGGGCTGGGAAGGTGGCTCAGTGGTAGAACACTTGCCTTGCATGCATAAGACCCTGGGTTTGATTCCTCAGCACCACATATGCAAAAAGAAAAAAGCTGGAAGTGGCACTGTGGCTCAAGTGGTAGAGAGCTAGCCTTGAGCTGAAGAGCTGAGGGACAGCACCCAGGCCCAGAGTTCAGGCCCCACGACCGGACCCCCCCAAAAAAATATGGCAATATATGTCAATTTCCTACAAAGGGGAAATTTTCTGGTTTTGTTTTGGTGGTACTAAGTATTAAATTCAGGCTTTATATTTGTAAGGGAGGTGCTCTATTACTACTTGATCTACTGTGCCATCCCTTTTTGTGTTGGTTATTTTCAAGTGTGATCTCATTTTATGCTTAGGCTGCTCTGGACTGTGATCCTTCTACTTCTGCTTCCCCTACTCACTGGGAATCATAGGTGTTGAAGAGCTACTACACCTCGCCATTGTTTGAGATAGTCTCACAAGACTTGTTTTTGCTTGGGCTAACCTTGAACTGCTATTCCTCAAGCTCTATCTTCCAAATAACTAGGATTTTAGGATCAAGCCTAGTCTAAAGAAGAAGCTTTAGCTGGGTGTGGATGGCTCACCTCTGTAATCCTAGCTACTCAGGAGTCTGAGATCTGAAGATTACTTTTGGAAGCCATTCCAGGTAAGAACATCCCTGACAGACTCTTATCTCCACTTCAACCAGAAGAGGAACTGTAGCTCAAAGTGCTAGCCTTGAGCACAAAAGCTCAGGAACAGTGCCCATGTCCTGAGTACAAGCCCTATGACTGACACCTCCCCCCCCAAAAAAAAGCAGCTGAGATAAAATGATAGATCAACTTAAAAGAACTAAAAGGGCTAGGAATGTGGCTTAGTGGTACAGTGCTTGCCTAGCATGCATGAAGCCCTGGATTCAATTCCTCAGAGCCACATAAACAGAAAAAGCCAGAAAGCGGTGCTATGACTCAAATGTGGTAGAGTGCTAGCCTTGAGCAAAAAAAGAAGCTCAAGGACAGTGCCCAGGACTGGCAAGCAAAAAACAAACAAACAAACAAACAAAAAACTAGGGCTGGGAAGGTGGCTCAGTGGTAGAGTGCTTGCCTTGCATGCCTGAGGCCCTGGGTTCGATTCCTCAGCACCAACTACGTAAGCACAAAAGAAAAAAGCCGCCGGGCGCTGGTGGCTCACGCCTGTAATCCTAGCTACTCAGGAGGCTGAGATCTGAGGATCGCGGTTCAAAGCCAGCCAGGGCAGGGGAGACTGAGACTCCTATCTCCAATAAGCCACCAGAAAACCGGAAGTGG